TCAGCAACATACACAGAAGCACTAGAGGCTTTCCCCCCTCTCCTTCCCACCTCACACTTTGGAAATTATCAAGCAAATCAACTTTCTAATTCAGGGATCAACAGCCTTGGTTTGTTAACTTTATAAGAAAAAATTTTTTTAACAAAACAATGATAGATGCTCATTTATCTACCAGTCACATTTGAACATTGTCCTTTGGTCCATGTCATCCTGGTGGCTGTCACTCACCCAGATCTAAATAACCCAGCAGGAGCCTTGGTCATCGGAGCCAGCCAACCATATGAGGAATTTCCTTTCTTCCTTTCTGCCAGAATGTGCAGCTTCAAATTTCAAGGGAAAAAAAAGAATCCTGGTGCTTCTTATTGTTTTGAAAGGTTAGACTTATCTTTGCCCTGACTAGGCATCTGCTGCGTGGTCATGTTTCCGGTAACAGCCATGCTGGAGGCAGCATCCGCTGAAGCACTTTAGGCAGCTGAAAGTGAAATGACAGCAGTGTTTGCAATAGGTACCACTAAGCTTGGGGGCTGGAGTGCTGGGTTGAGGTGAGGGGAGCAGAGGGAAGTTTTGGGTTTACAAACGTGGAACAGTACAGAGCCTACTGCAACTTACTGCTTGGTATTTGTAAACCACCGTGCTTGTATATCTTTGGATATTAGGAAATGGCCCTAGTCCGGATGAATTAACGTGTTAGGCTGACTACCAAAGTTTCCTCCACTTTCTTTGGCTCCTAGTTTCACATAACAGCAATAGTATACATCAGAAATGTCCCTTTCCAGTGAAATGAGCCTGGATTGTATTTTTAAATCCACAGGTCTCCCTATTTGATAACTTTTATATGAAGTTTTAAATACATTTTTTCTGCAGCATTCTGATTGAAGAAATTCAACACTATGGTTCTTATTGCAGCCACAATTCCATTTCCTCTTATATAAGTAATAGTTTATATTTTCAGTCCAATAGAAGAACCTCACTAAATCCATGTCTCATGTCTGCAAACCTAGTAATTCATAAACCAACCATCAGCAAATTGCTGGTGACTCCAAGAGCTTTGCTCTTTAATATAGTACAGGGCATTTACCAGAAAACATCAGGCACAGTCATGTTGCAATAAATTGATCAAGGCATCAGTTTTGATCAGGTTTGATTACTTGATCATTCCTAAGATTTTTTAAAACTTCAGGAGACCTTTTTGGTAATTCTGAGATTCTTACTCCAGCACCGAGAGTCAAGAGGAATTTACCAAGTGTGTAGAGCTTTAGATGCCTGATTTTGTATGCAGAGAATGAGGGTGGATTTTTAAGGGATGCAGGCAAGTAGATGCTTACAAGTTACAGTGCAAATAGAAAGGAGAAAAATCTCTAGCTTCTCTTAATGTTCATTAAAATGTTAAGATTAGTATTTAAATGCATAGTGGTTTAAGAAATTGTCTTGGTGCAGAGGCATAGATGATTGTTAAAGGGATTTGGAAGAGGGCCTGGTCATGCCTGCACTGGTGAGCCATTTGTGAGTGTTAGTAGTGCGCTCCCTTCCTGAGAATGCTTTGTGATATGTGGAAAGGGGGACAGGAAAGGTGGCATTTCTTTGATGATAGGATGTTAAATGCAAAGGATAATTCTTAAGCAATCTAAGAATTGTACATACACATACAGCTGCACAGTATCACTAGAGAATGGTTATTTTTTCTCTTTAGAAAAACAGAAATGTGTCCTTTAATAGGAATGTAATAATGCTATCATATGTTAAGAGCCTACCCTTAAACATTGTTTTGGAGTGTATTTTATCTTTATAAGACATTGACCAGGACACCATGATAGGGTAAAAACTCTTGCCTAGGTCCATCTTAAGGATCGACTAGGCTCTGTGCTCTACAAAAAGTAGAGTTGAAATGAAACTAAAATCTATAGGGAAACATTCCAGCTGGTAATCAAGGCTTTCAATGGACAGATCTTGCCATAACTAAATAGGTGAAAAGTACAGAATATGCTGCTTTAGCTGGAGCTTTTAAGCCTACCAAAAAAAAATATTAAGTCAGTCCTATGTTTGAGAAGTAGTATGCTGGAAAGTTATTGCTTTGCTAGTTTTCTTAGATTTTATGTGAGAAAATAGAGCTTTTTAAACTATTACCAAATTGTAAAGGTGAAGTGCAGTAATTTCTGTAAAGAGAAACTTTGCAGTATTTGTCAGTACTCTATCCGGGATTGGCAGCAAACACTTTTAATGCAGTAGAGACTGTCCAATATACATGGAAATACTATGAGTGCTTGGTGGGTTCCTCACCTTTTCACTCATTTCTAATAGCTTTTGCTGTGTTAATACTGTGAATAGTGCCTCCAGGTCGTCTAGGACCTCTTCAGCACAATTGTCTTTGCTGGTTCTCTCCTTTTCACTGGTCTAGACTAGAGCCAAGAGGTTCGTGAAATTCAAGTTTCCGAAAGCAATTTTCCCATTTTAACTAGGAGAGATATTGTTATTCTGAATACTTATCCATATTCTTCTCCAGGTTCACTGTGACATTGCCCTAGTTCGTAGCTAACATCATGGGGGAGCATAGGAGTTAGTAGTGTGCTATCTACATCAATGAATCGCTATATTGTTGTGTGCACAGAGGATACCTCTCTTAACAGTGTACTAAATGACTTTAGCTAATGCTGAAAATTATTACCAAATCTTCACCTTGTGAAGGGAACTGCATTGGCAATGAGAGCTGAATCATCAAGTATTTTAATGCCGAGAAATAGCAAACACTGGGCCTGTTTTTATTCATTGAATGGCTCTTCATAGCAAAAGAGCTACCCAATATTCTCAGCAAACTAAGAGAGAGAGCAATATATTCATCTTCTTTCATTCTAAGGGGTACCTTTTATTCTCTCTGAACTCTGATAGCAGTATAAAATGCAGCATTGGCATGTGCAGTGACACTGTACTGAGGCAGAAAGGCTCTTTCTAATAACCTGTTCTCTCTTTACTCAGAACCATATTTACCTCTGAACTGAGTTGAGTTTTATTTATGTAACTTGCAAACTACCCCAGAGCCATTTCATTGTACCAGAGGGTTAAATCTAATTTTGAATATGTAAAATAACTTACTAAAGGCTAAAGATCGAGAACGAAGGGAGATGGCAGTTAAGGGAAGTTTTCTTTCTATTTTGTTTTTTGGTGGTTTTGTTTTTTTGTGGGTTTTTTGTTTGTTTGTTTTTGGGTGTTTTTTTTTTCTTATGTTTCCAGTTCCCTCTACATCTGTGAAATGGGGTTTTCCAAAGATGGTTTAACATGTAGAATTAAACCATTTTCCTCTGAACTTCATAGTTGAAATTTGACCTTGGCTGGAAAGTGGTCTGACCAAAGAAATAGTGAACTTCATCCTTAATAACTGAATAGTCTTTTATCAAGAAGTAACTTTTAAAAAGTGTTAGCTGTTTCTTGACACTGATTTTGTTTCTTTTAACTGGTAAAAACTACATTTTGTTTGACTAGAACAGGGATGGGCAAACTTTTTGACTCGAGGGCCACAATGGGTTCTTAAACTGGACCGGAGGGCCGGAACAAAAGCATGGATGGAGTGTTTGTGTGAACTAATATAAATTCAAAGTAAACATCATTACATAAAAGGGTACGGTTTTTTTTTGTTGTTTTTTTTTTTTTAGTTTTATTCATTTCAAACGGGCCGAATCCGGCCCATAGGATAGTTTGCCCACGGCTGGACTAAAAGATCTAATTTAAAGAAATGAAAGCAATGGCTAATGGAAAGAAATTAAACAAAGACAAAAGTCTTCTGAATCATAGTCGAAAGGCATTTAGTCAGGAAGGAGTTTGAATCCTGAAAGTTTTTTTCCTCTCAGATACAATAGACATAGTTTTTTTCTCTTCCTCACATGTCCTTCTTATCTGTGTACTTATTTGTTTAAGGAACAACAGATAAGTCTTCACTGAGCTTAATCTTTGAAAGCGGGGCTCTTTACTTAGGCCTCATGGGAAAGTGCAAAATATTGAAGTATTTTGGTTCCTGCGAATTAGAAGGGAAAACAAGCAATTAAGTCAGGTTAATCCCTAAATTTCAGAGGCTGTCCCTTTGTAAAGTATGTCCCTAGGACTATGAATTAGATCTGTGTTCAACAAACTGCAGCCCCCTGGTCAAAAGTGATAGTGGACTAGCCTCTTCATTTAAGTGTTGTTTATTGCTACTTTCTTCTACAATTCAAAGTTGAGACCAGATGGCTTGCAAAGCCTGAAAATACAGTATTTACTGTCTGGCACCTGACAGAAGTTTACCAGCTCCAAATTAAATTTGAACGCATCACCCCCCAAATACGTCAGTCCTACCATTTTGCTATTACAAATTCATAAGTCTAAAAGGGTTTTAATTCGTATTGCTATATATGCATGTTTCCCAAAAGAGTTTGCCATCTTTTCCTAGTTCCTTTTCTCACAGCCCTCCTTGTGCTCCTTAATGATCCCCATTGCTTTAAGAGCATTTAGAGTAGTCCTTAGGAT